AAAGTGGATTGGGCATACAGTTACACTTGAGGCAGCCAATGGTAGTATGTCCGGACGGCACAGAATTTCATAGCAATTGTTCCTGAAAATGCATAAATACCAGAGAATGGTTGCTCCAGCTTGCTGTCTTCATTGTAGCAACCAAGGTGGTCTTGAACAATCCATCTTACTACCATCAAGAACTGAATGCTATTGTCATGGTAAAAACCCAACTCCGTCGCCGGCGACCAAGACTAATGAATCCTAGGAAACCGAAGCTGTTCCTGAAAGTAGCCAAGAGGGCCTTCCAATCGAGGGGCGCTGGTACCGTCTCTCCTGGCCGCCACCCCGCAAGCGTGTAATAGACTTAGAGCCTGCCAAAGAACACGACGCTCTCAAAGACTATATTGGTGACTCTGGGTTTGACACTTTTGACATCCCAGTGATCGCGAAGCTGGACCACCATCAATACGATGTTTTTGTCAGTGATAACATATGGGCACAATTTGAGGCCACGAATTCCCATTTGGAGGTGATGCCCTTTGAGTCAAACGATGAGCTCGTCAGCAGGATCGGCAAAGTCAAGGCGGCGGAGCACGCCATTATGAAATTCGAGGCTCTTCTGGAAGAAGAGGTGCTACCTGGGACAAAGAAAGCTATTGAGGAACGGATCTGGTTCTATCAGGAGGCCAGGGTTCAGCTGCTCTAGTTTCATTTTCTCAGTGACTTTCGAGACGGCGCGGGAGGGACTATCTGAAAGCCGAATAGCGCGATGCAAATATTAAATCGGACACGGGAGACGTAGTTGTGGTTGGCTCACTAGCGTTAAGAGCCAAGTTATCCAGGTAGCCCTACTGGCGATCTGCATGGGGCCGAAGAACGGGAAGGGTTCACCAATCAACTGAGTGGTGATCTCGCGAACTAGTCTTTATCTATCTACTAGAAGCCACCTTCTTTTGGGGCGTAACAATCAGGTCAGTGACGGAGCGTCATAGCTTTCATCGATGTGCTTTTTCCAGCTAGCAACCTTGTTGCAGGTGCAACGGTACCAGACTCCTGGTGCCTTCATACCCAGGTGTCCTTCATCCATTTTTAGACATTCCAAATGGAGAAGGTACCAGCGGGCCAGTCGCAATAGAAAACTGTGGGGTAAGCTTGGGCCATGACCAGCTTGACATACCTACACAAGCATTACATAACCGACCACAATCTCTACATCCAGGGTCCCAAAAGTAGACACTGTCGCCATCCTTGTAGACGGCCAACACTTAGCTTTCAGATACTTTCCGAAATTGCGCATTCTCCTAACCAGTAGATGGCTCTGGCATTGCCCTACGGGGACAGTGTGCCGGGCACCGAAGCCATCTACTTTGGCTGGTTTGTGAGCAGATGCTCAGAGGACCTGGAACATGAGCTCCATTCAATCAACTCCAGGCAATATAAGAGCCGATGGCCCTACCTGTTCCTCGCCGCGGCAATTTTATCTTTTGTGTACTTGGAGAATGTTATCTCTTAAAATGCCTGCTTGGCTCAGCCGTTGCCTTTCATATATCGGCCTTGCCCATTGCCTCCCACTTGATATAAACAAACCACTTCCACCAATTCCCCCACCCGCCACTAAGAATATAACACCTGGTTCCAGTGTGAATCCGCCCACTGCAGAGTGTGCAGCAGCGTTGATGGAATGTAAAGCGAGTAAGCTGAAAATGTGAGTGGATTTGTTGACCACATATTGATCCCCACTGACGGTGTATTAGACCCAAACAGTGGCATGGCTACTATGTTGTGCACAATGGCGAAGAAATCAGGAACATTGAACAGTACAGAGGAATCATGTACGGAACAAACATGGGCGGCGTACCTTGGGTTGTGTCGCTGGCCCGGACAGCTTTCTCCAAAAATATGATCCCAATACTCTGTAGATTCAAAGTTTACGACGAAGCAAAGGGTGGAAAGGTAAAGGGTGGAGAGGATTGGTCGCAAAATCGAAATAAATGGCCATTGGAAATGATGTACAGCACTCCCTACCTCCCGCTGCAAATGCCCGTACCCCGTGATAGTCCATTCTATAGCCCATCTCAAGATTCTTGGGCATCAGGATTTTGAGCAAGGAATGATAGCAGAACTTTGTGTACATTATAAACAACCACGTGCGGGGGTCCTAGGGCTGGTGGTTGAGTGTTGACATTTCGAAACGTTTCGGGGGCTCAAAATGAATCTAGTATACATTCCAGAGACATCTCTATGGCGCACTAGTCCGTACAGCTCGGCTGGTCAAAGAAGAAAAACCAGAGTATCTGGGTTTTAGCGGTGGTCGTCGCCCGTGCAGGATGGATGCAGAACAGAAAGGTTCTCCCTTGTGATTTTGGTGAATTGAATTGCCGGCTAAGAGATTCCCTTGACCAACCAAATCTGGTTCCAAAACATAAGGCAATACCAGCGAGGTGTAAGATAGATGCCCTTTTCATCTCGAACAAGAGTAGCAACTTCAAGTGTTGCCAAAAGCAAAATGGCCAGTCGTTATTCCCTACCGAGGTCTCCTATTTTATGTTGCTGGCTCACGGCGCAAGCCCCAGCCGGCTTGAATTATTATACCCATTTTGTCGATTTTCTTTCCACCTCAGCATCTGGTTGAGAGTTTAGCAAGAGTACCTGTTCCGCCCTCTAAGGTCGTATAAACCATGACACAAGAAATGAGGTAGCTTAGTGCGATCAATCGGGCGTTGGTCTCGCCGACTAGTCTTTTCTACTAACTCCACATGCCACATTCTTTTAGGGCATATTTTCCCATCTAGCAACCTTGTTGCAGATGCAAGGCTGTCAAACTTTTGGCACCTTCATAGCCCGATGTAGGCAAAACAGCCAGGGGTTCTGAGGAGGGGATGGAGGCCGCCAGATCACAACAGTAGGAGATACAAATGAGACCCAAGTCCGTGTCTGGGAGCGTCCACTCAATATTGCCTACCATCAGTCTTCACTAGGTACTGTACGACCCCCAGGTGTAGCGAGCGGTCCTAACATACAATAAACAATCAGGCAATTGCGAATATGGATTTTGCCGAACAAGATTCTGATGAATGGCCTACCTCCCTACCTCTGTGCTTGGAGCCAACGCCGCCCGAAGCCAGCATACTGGAAAACATGTCTGGGAGGCAACCGTGTCTTGTAGCAGCAGAAGGCCATGCTGGTGTTGACAGGCCATATCATTCCCGCCAGCAGCAAGAAATCGAGTGGACCCAGAATGAAAACAGGGTGCGTAGCGAAGGAAAGAAGAGCGGGCACACGACAGACACTTTGGAACACTCTCACAAGAGACCCCCCAGTGTTTGCGATGAACAATATGGATGTATGCGGTACAATCCAAAACTCATAGGCCCGTCTCAAAGTTGGGAAAAGGAAGAGGATGACATACTTGTTAACGGGAGAAGAGCGAACAAAGGCTGGAACGAGATTTCAAA